GAAGTCGCTCCTCTGTCCGGGGAGTGAAGCCTTCAACAGAAGCCCCCTGACCACCCACCACCCCCTCCCTCTCCCCACACACACACACTCGAATTTATCTAAGCTGGTTCTAAGAGAGTGAAAATAGAAGTGCGGGTCTTAGAATCAAGTCGTCCTCGACTTAAGTCCATTACATCCAGCTGTCGACCCCACAGACGCATTCATAATTTTTTTATGTGCAGTTCATTCATAACAGGAATTTTCTCAAGTATAAATTAATATTATAATATATTAGCATATTGTGCATATATAAGCATAGGTTAGGTTAGGTGTTGGCAATTATTTGTATTTGTAGTACGTGAGTGAAGCATTTACAGTGATGTGGTTCGAACAAAATTCGTTAGTGAAGCACTTGTTCCGGAAGTGTTCGAACGAAATCAGTTGTGAGTCGTGTGTAAACCGTTTTTCATTCATAAACAGGGAGTTTGGCGGGTGCATGGAATCACTTTTGGGTCTTTGTTTGGAGGACGGGCTGTTGTTTGGAGGACGGGCTGTTGTTTGGAGGACGGGCTGTTGTTTGGAGGACGGGCTGTTGTTTGGAGGACGGGCTGTTGTGTGGAGGACGGGCTGTTGTTTGAAGGACGGGCTGTTGTGTGGAGGACGGGCTGTTGTGTGGAGGACGGGCTGTTGTGTGGAGGACGGGCTGTTGTGTGGAGGACGGGCTGTTGTGTGGAGGACGGGCTGTTGTGTGGAGGACGGGCTGTTGTTTGGAGGACGGGCTGTTGTGTGGAGGACGGGCTGTTGTTTGAAGGACGGGCTGTTGTTTGGAGGACGGGCTGTTGTTTGGAGGACGGGCTGTTGTGTGGAGGACGGGCTGTTGTTTGGAGGACGGGCAGTTGTGTGGAGGACGGGCTGTTGTTTGAAGGACGGGCTGTTGTTTGGAGGACGGGCTGCCAAGAACAGACTCTGCGGGGTGACTCGTTCTCTGCGAAGCTTCGTTTGGGTTGAATTCTTCATGATGGGTGCTGAGTGAGAGCACTACACCTTCCCTCCCTCCCTCTCATTATGAGGGAGTAATAACGTTTGTGAGTAATAATGTTAAATACTATTTGTGTGTTATATATATAATTTCTAGTGTTATTACTTATATTTTTTTACCAGCCTTTTCATATATTTAAACCGTTCAATGTCTTTGTCTGTCTCTCTTTCACAGTTTGTTTTCTTTTTCTATACATGCGGGAAGAGAGTAGACGCCTACTGACTCCTGTTAGCAGGCTGCAAACACCAAGTCTATAAATACTATTTTCACGTGAGGCTCTACAATATTTTGTTAAAGAAAGCAGTAGTCTTCCAATACTAAATTTTATGCCTCAATATTCCCTGTTCCATGATATGTTAATGTTCCATGTTCATGTTATTTAATGTTCCATGATATTTAATAAAAATCAAAATCAAAGACCCAGATGCCCTAAATTTATAGGCCCAGATAAGATAACGATCAGCGTTTTCGTCACGTTACATCTAAAACATTTTTGTGTGGCTCAGTTTTATTTACCGTTTGAATCAATATTGTTAACTGTCTGTAACATATATTGCAACTCCATCATCCTGCTGTGTCTTGCCCTCCCTCCTGCTTCCTGCCCTCCCTCCTGCTGTCTCTTGCCCTCTATCCTGCTGTCTCTTGCCCTCTCTCCTGCTTCCTGCCATCCCTCCTGCTGTCTCTTGCCCTCCCTCCTGCTGTCTCTTGCCCTCCCTCCTGCTTCCTGCCCTCCCTCCTGCTGTCTCTTGCCCTCCCTCCTGCTGTCTCTTGCCCTCCCTCCCGCTTCCTGCCATCCCTCCTGCTGTCTCTTGCCCTCCCTCCTGCTGTCTCTTGCCCTCCCTCCTGCTTCCTGCCCTCCCTCCTGCTGTCTCTTTCCCTCCCTCCCTCCTGCTTCCTGCCCTCTTTCCTGCTGTCTCTTGCCCTCCCTCCTGCTGTCTCTTGCCCTCCCTCCTGCTTCCTGCCCTCCCTCCTGCTGTCTCTTGCCCTCCCTCCTGCTGTCTCTTGCCCTCCCTCCTGCTGTCTCTTGCCCTCCCTCCTGCTGTCTCTTGCCCTCCCTCCTGCTTCCTGCCCTCCCTCCTGCTGTCTCTTGCCCTCCCTCCTGCTTCCTGCCCTCCCTCCTGCTGTCTCTTGCCCTCCCTCCTGCTTCCTGCCCTCCCTCCTGCTGTCTCTTGCCCTCCCTCCTGCTTCTGCCATCCCTCCTGCTGTCTCTGCCCTCCCTCCTGCTGTCTCTTGCCCTCCCTCCTGCTGTCTCTTGCCCTCCCTCCTGCTTCCTGCCCTCCCTCCTGCTGTCTCTTGCCATCCCTCCTGCTGTCTCTTGCCCTCCCTCCTGCTCCCTGCCCTCCCTCCTGCTCCCTGCCCTCCCTCCTGCTGTCTCTTGCCCTCCCTCCTGCTTCCTGCCCTCCCTCCTGCTGTCTCTTGCCCTCCCTCCTGCTGTCTCTTGCCCTCCCTCCTGCTTCCTGCCCTCCCTCCTGCTGTCTCTTGCCCTCCCTCTTGCCATCCCTCCTGCTGTCTCTTGCCCTCCCTCCTGCTCCCTGCCCTCCCTCCTGCTGTCTCTTGCCCTCCCTCCTGCTGTCTCTTGCCCTCCCTCCTGCTGTCTCTTGCCCTCCCTCCTGCTGTCTCTTTCCCTCCCTCCTGCTGTCTCTTGCCCTCCCTCCAGCTTCCTGCCCTCCCTCCTGCTGTCTCTTGCCCTCCCTCCTGCTCCCTGCCCTCCCTCCTGCTCCCTGCCCTCCCTCCTGCTGTCTCTTGCCCTCCCTCCTGCTTCCTGCCCTCCCTCCTGCTGTCTCTTGCCCTCCCTCCTGCTTCCTGCCCTCCCTCCTGCTGTCTCTTGCCCTCCCTCCCGCTTCCTGCTCTCCCTCCTGCTGTCTCTTGCCCTCCCTCCTGCTCTCTGCCCTCCCTCCTGCTCCCTGCCCTCCCTCCTGCTCCCTGCCCTCCCTCCTGCTTCCTGCCCTCCCTCCTGCTCCCTGCCCTCCCTCCTGCTGTCTCTTGCCCTCCCTCCTGCTCCCTGCCCTCCCTCCTGCTTCCTGATGTAACACTGTAAAAGTGTTTGGTTTAGTTTATTTAAAATATAGAATATGAGTCAGAGACAAGAATTTGAGAAGGCGCCAGTTTGTCCACCGGAGTCTCACTCCTCTAAGAGTTAATGACCTCAAGTGACCTGAGGTCAGATCATGCGAATTTCACCTTACTTCTACTAATCTTATAATTGGAGCCTGGTAGCCTTCAAACATGCCGACGTTTAAGGAGTGGCTTTGTAGATTGCCTGAGGCTATCTACTTGTGGGCGGAGTTAGTTACTAGGTTCCCCCAATATATACTCGGAGAGCTATCGATTCGAGAGCATTAACAAGACAGAAGACCAGGCAGCTGAGCAGGACGACAACAGCCGAGACAGGCTGTCGGTCGGACGGGGGTGACGCTGCCTGACAGCTGCAGACTCCCCCCCCCCCCCTCTATCCAGCTATAGGCAGGCACTTGGTGAGTTGAACATTAAGGTGACTTGGTCGTGTTTTACAAGTGTTGTGTGATGATCAGGGGCAGTCAGTTGTAGTGTTCTCAGATTCTTGGAGGATGACTCACTTTACATATATAGATCTTGAACATTGCTTAAATTATAATAGTTATCATGTGAAATATAATTGAATTTATTATTTAAATGGACTTTATTTTGTTCCCTAGAGATTTTGAGTTGAGGTGAGAAAGCCTCTGCAGTTACTGGGTTCATGATTTAAGGAGTACATCATAAAGATGGGACCATACTAATAATGACCTCTTGATAACATCATTTGAGAATATTGTGATACAGACAAGTTCCATTCCTTGTCTTGTATGTAATGGTCTTGAATGGATGGTGGCAGCATTTCGTCTTCTACTATCTACTCTTCTACTTCTACCTATCTACTCCTCTCCCTCCACCCCTCTTGGAACTCTCACTTTCAACCAATGACCCTCCTCGCTCCTCCCACCTCCCTACCTCTCACCCCAAACCCTCACTAATTACTTCACTATTCATTTCTTTCCTTTCGTTTTCTCTTATACGTTTGTGGCAGTGAAAGGTATTCTAGAGTTCTCTCTAGAGTTTCGGGTAGCTGATCCAGTTACGGCGCCTTGGAGTCTTAGCACCTAGGTAGTCGAATACCTAGGTTACAAGGTGTTGAACGAGAGAGGTTGCCTTAGGAACTCTGGGAGTGCTCTAGAATAGTTAGCTAACTGGGGACGGGATAACGGACTAGAGAGAGCTGTTTCCCCCGGCCTCGTTAGTTGACTGGGGGGTGGAATAATGGACAAGATAGAGTTATTTCCCCCACCCCCCGTTACACTGCCCTCCCTCCTGCTCCCTGCCCTCCCTCCTGCTCCCTGCCCTCCCTCCTGCTCCCTGGCCGACAGGGAGGTGACGGGTATTGGTCTCCGGGGATGAGCATCAGCGTCTCACAGCGCCGTCTCACCTGACATACAGACAAACACCAAATTCGGTGTTGAATATTCAGCATTTCATGATTTTGTATATGTAAGTTTGATCTGTTGTATATTAATATTATTTACCTTATAAAGTTAGTTATAAATTTATATTATATACATATATGTAAAATGAAATCCCATTAACATTATGTATCAATGAGAAAATCACTAGGAGCCATGAGGAGGATTCGAACCCGGTACTCTGAAGCTCGTACCCCTGATCACTACCACCACGACACGGTAAAAAGAAACAATGGACCTGGGATTACACTGAATCCATTAGAGGAATCCGTGAAATCCCAAGTTGCATGACTGCTCCGTGGTGCTGTGGTCCAGGGCGCTCGCTTGACAGTGCCAACCGAGCGGCTTCGAATCCTCCTCAAGGCTCCTGTTGATTTGTTTCATATACATAAATATTTAATACATATGAGATTATGATTTCCGTTACGACAAGGAGCCGGACGTCTCCGACAAGGAAGACTCAAGGGAAGTGTGGAGTGATTGGCATATAAGGTCTGTGGGAGGTGATGGAGAGGCTTCACCATCACCTGATTCACAGACTAACACAGCAGACTCACAGACTAACACAGCAGACTCACAGACTAACACAGCAGACTCACAGACTAACACAGCTGACTTACAGACTAACACAGCTGACTCACAGACTAACACAGCAGACTCACAGACTAACACAGCAGACTCACAGACTAACACAGCTGACTCACAGACTAACACAGCAGACTCACAGACTAACACAGCAGACTCACAGACTAACACAGCAGACTGACAGACTAACACAGCTGACTCACAGACTAACACAGTTGACTCACAGACTAACACAGCAGACTCACAGACTAACACAGCAGACTCACAGACTAACACAGCAGACTCACAGACTAACACAGCAGACTCACAGACTAACACAGCAGACTCACAGACTAACACAGCAGACTCACAGACTAACACAGCAGACTGACAGACTAACACAGCAGACTCACAGACTAACACAGTTGACTCACAGACTAACACAGCTGACTCACAGACTAACACAGCAGACTCACAGACTAACACAGCAGACTCACAGACTAACTCAGCAGACTCACACAGCAGACTCACAGACTAACACAGCAGACTCACAGACTAACACAGCTGACTCACAGACTAACTCAGCAGACTCACACAGCAGACTCACAGACTAA